CAACATCAATCCTTCTATGTTCTGGTCTTGCAGCTGTAATAAGCAGCACTTATAGTGTCAAACAACCACTAAATGATGCAATTTATGGTGCTCATGGTGAATTCATGGTGGCATTAAAATATGTTACACTTTTACTAATTTTCCTATTCTCATTCCTATGTCACACATTGTCAATTAGGTTCATTAACCAAGTCAATTTCCTCATCAATTGTCCACAAGACAATTTGGGAATTGTGAGTCCAGAGTATGTGTCTGAGTTGTTAGAAAAAGGATTTGGTTTGAACACTGTGGGGAATAGGTTGTTTTATGCAGCTTTGCCACTTTTGCTTTGGATATTTGGTCCTGTTTTAGTGTTCTTGTGTTTTGTTACTATGGTACCTATGTTTTATAATCTTGATTTTGTGTGTTCTAATCAAGAAAAAGGGAAAATAGAGTACCCTTGTGAGAATGGGTGTAATAGTGGTAGTGATCAATTTGTGGTTGTGTAAGAAATGATATACTATGTATTATTATCAATATAAATATATAATTGAACTTTATCCAATTTATATTAGTTATATTTGAGTTATGCCCCATTTATTTTAATGATGATGAAGACGTTTGAATCTGATTAGACATCTGAATATTAAGATGTTATATTCAGAATATTTGATCAATGTATGTTTGATTTCTCAGTATTTGAGGGGAATAGTATAGGATGGGGGTGGGGGGTGTTATAGGACCTCCACAAAATTGGAGTGTGTAACAACAAATTAAGATAAAGTTGGAGTGTGTTTTAATTCGTTTTTCTAATATAACATACTCCCTCCGTTTCACAAAGAATGACCCCCTTTCCTTTTTAGTCAGTTTCAAAAAGAATGACCTCTTTCCTTTTTTGGTAACATTTTACTTTTTGCTTTCCACGTGGCATGTTTAAGACCACAAGATTAAGGGCAATTTTGTACATTTGACATAACTTTAATTTATGACCACAAGATTCAAAAGTCTTTTTTATTTACTTAAACTCCGTGCCAAGTCAAACCAGGTCATTCTTTGTGAAACGGAGGGAGTA